CAGCTATTGATTATCGAAAAGCAAAACCTCTGGGATCATCCTCAAAAGCAAGTTCATCCAAAAGATCATCAAAAATCCAGTCTTCTAACTCAAGCCCTACACACTCACAATCAAACTGCAAGTTCATCCATCCATCAGTCTTCCCCAAATCCCTACCAACCAAATAATCCAGCAAATGCTCACTCTCATCTGGCAGTGAGCTCAAACTCCACTTCACATTGCCCCAAACCTCCTTCAGCACATGGTTCCCAACTGGCATTGGCCTGATTTGTGACAACCATGACAATGGCTTGGGGCAATAGGTATGAGACTTTGCATAAATCTCCATCAGAACTTCGTTGATGAGATCGAACATTGCCAAGTGATGGTGGTAGCAGTTGCTGTCCAGTCCAGCCTCCTCGAACACTGCTGGATCCACCGGTTGATCGTTGGAGTGCCATGTTCCCAAGAGCTCCTTCCTGCTGAAACCCGATATGTCGAGGATTCCCTTCACGTAGTCGAACTTCGGCTTCTCGCTCGGGTCTACTCTGAACACGACGGCCTCGTCGTGATCTTCTCGATCGTCGTTCTTCGACTGGAATTCGTTCTTCTCGTCGATTTCTTCTTCGGCTACTATGATCTCGTCGATGATGGATTTCGCTCTCTGGTCTTCCAGGAAGTTGAGCTTGTTGGCAATGAGATTCCTCAAGATTTGCTCTGAATCTGTTTGCATATTAGAAATAGTTCTCAAGTTAGAATATTTAGATTATATACACTAATGTATAGTGATTCAAATCTAGTAGAAATGTAGAATGAAAGTGAAGGTCATTGTTGCCAATTTAGGGTTTTGAAAGATTTGAATAACTATCTCTTGGTCACATAGGCTTCCTTCAATATGTCAAAAAGGATCTATATTTCAGTACTTAAATTTTTTGGGAGAACATTCTCAAGATAGAATCTTTAGATTATATACACTAACATAGTAACATGTATAGTAATTCAAATGTTTCACTCACCTTTGAAAGTGGAGAAGGTTGGAGGAGAGCTAATTGCTTCTTCCTCAGAGATTGAGGCTTCATCCTCCTCTATAACAAACATTGGTTCATCAACTAGATCCTTGTTTGATTCCTCAACTGATAACTCACACACTGGAGTTCTATGTTCTTCCTCCTTTCCCTTTCCCTCTTCCTCTTCCTCTTCCTCTTCCATCACAATCAACTCATCAGGAGCCAGAGTTGATGAAACCACATTATCATCACATGTCATTTCAACACCAGGCTCAACTAATGCTTGTGTTTGATCATCAGGACTCGTCGATTCATCTTCTTTCGCACCCGATTCCTCCACCACGGGAAGCGAAATCGACGGCGACGAAGACGAGTCCTCTGTTTTCTGCTTCACAGTCACGCGCTGAGGACCTCTGTTGAACGTAGAATCGTACAACTGACAATACTTGTCCAAGGATTCGCAGAGCGAGGAAGTTCTCTTCAACCTCTGATTCTCACTCTTGCTGGCTAGAAGGTATTTGCAGCAGTCACCTTCATAGCTCTTCCTTGGACTCATCATCACCACCACATTCTCCTTCCCGCCTTCTTTTTTATTCGTTGGTGACGACGATTGCTGTTTCGCAGAGGCAGAGGCAGAGGCAGAGGCAGAGGCAGAGGAAGAGGCAGAGGACATTCCACCACCACCTCGAGGGATTCTGTGAAGAACAGCTTCCATGGTGATCACATGTCTGATTTTCTTTTTGAGGTCCTTCAGGCACCTCATCGCCGTCTTGTTTCTGGTGCTGCCGCCACCTCGACCCTTGATCAATTGCGAGATCCCGTCTGCTCTGTTCTCGGCGGTGATGGTCGACATCGAGCGCGAGCGCGCATAAGATCTCGAGTCGAGTAGGTGACTTTCCAATCGTTGTTGTCGTCGTGGAGCAACTCTGTCGGCCTCGTTCGATTTCCCCGCACCCTGTTGCTTCTGCGGGGGTTCTTTCAGCGAAGCAGAATCGAGCGAGGTGGAAGGGAACGACATCGACTTGTAGTACCGGTTCCTTCGAGCAGTGGATCGAGGAGCCAAATGAGAATGCCGGTCCTGCAAAATCGTAGCTAGAAACTCCTTGTTCATGACTGCCATGTCCAGAGCGTTCGAGATTTCCTTGCTCCTGAAACCATCCTCGTCGAATCTCGTCCCTTCGCGAGGAGGAATCGACGACTTGCTTTCTCGAACATCATGGGTTTCGATCTCGTCGTCGTCGTCGTCATTCGTTGCCTCAACAGCTGGTGGTGGTAATGGTGGCAGGGGTTTCTCTGTTTCTACATGAGTTTGAGGATGAAATGTAACATGATGTTGTTGTTGTTGGTGGTGGTGTTGCTGCTGTTGTTCTCCAACAGGACATGTATAACTTCTGCGATGCTGGCTGCCTTTCTTTCGATAAAGCTCGTCGGATATGAGCGATTTCAATCTCGATCTGATCGAACTCTTCGTCGAGGAATTTGATTTGGTTGTTTTCTCGTCGCCAATTGGGCATTGATTAGCGCGAGCATTGTTCGATTGCGTTTGAGTTTCACCACTTCCTTTCCAACCATAATTGTCGTGGTAACCTCCTTCGCCGCCATGAAACCCTGTGTCCAAAGCAATACATTATAATCATCATTTCGTTACTTGTAGATACAACAACGTCGTGGTGGTAAGAATTACGAGTATTTGGTTACCGATAGGATGTTGATGATCGTTGTCTTGCGGAGTAGAAGAGGGTCTTCGATGAGGAAGGCGTTTCTTGATGTAACGCCAACGTTGGTACTTGAGGACATGAAGTATTCCCCACATGCAACCTGGATGTCTCCCTGGGAATTGTGGCTGATGGTTTTGGTGATCGATTTTTCTTCCCATAATCTCACTTCTTTCTCAAACCTCTTTTCTTCTCCCTAAATCTGAAAAAAGCTTGCAAAATTTTAAAAAGGGAATGGTAATACTAAGAAAAAGGAACAAAACTAATCACCAAATTTGTGATAGGTACAATTTACGATATCTTGCGTCTTGCTTCTGTCCCTTATCGTTTAGGGCCAAAGCATGTATGAATATGCGAGGAGGGAGAGAGCTATGTCTAATCCAGTCCGATAATCTTCGTTTGAGGATTGAAAAAAAGAAAGAGATGTTGTTTTGTTTGTTAGCAAAATCAATTTTGAAGAGACAAAGTAAATGGAAAAAAAATTAGACAACTTTCAAATAAATAAGCCAAAGAATTAGGAGATGATTTTGATTGTTTATATCTCTTATTACTGTATGGGTTCTCGTGACTACATGTAACTTTGTATTTGAGGTATTCAATTTCTAATTGGATAGGCTTAATCTTCAACTATCTGAGTTACGGTGTTACATATGGTTCGAAATTTTACCCTAATGTGCCTAGCATTCACTAGGGGGAATAATCACAACATTTTACTAAAAGTATAAAAAAATTTATTTCTAATAGTTTAGAGCTACTTGAATAAAGTAATTCAAAATTATTTAATAGATGATATCAACCCAAAGCTCAAATTGAAGGTTGACATTTACTCTTGTTGAATTGTTGCCCCTCATAATAATAACTAACGACTTAGCATGGGTAGGTTTGTTTCATCATATTTTGTTTTATTTACCATTATTTTAGTGAACCTTTCATGTTGCTTATATTTTGGTAAATCAGAATCATTTATTGTTTTTTTTCAATTAATTAATTTTAGGATTTAATGTTTAGAGAATTATTGTATAGGATTTAGCCATTAGAGATCAAGCTATATCACCATATCCAAAATCTCATTCAATTCATGCCTAGATAGCGTCCGACACCTCACTAAACGTACGTTATAAACCAGATTAACTCGGCAGAAAGTAGTTTGAGGTCGTATAGTTATGCTAGTATATCCCTAGAGTATGCAATAGTCAAACCAAAATGTGTTGTTTAGGGAAAGATTAGCGTATGCCTACTAAATTGATTTTAGGGTTTGGGTTTAGATAGTTATGAGCTAGTATTCGCCCAATAGAAATTCGGGTACAATACCATATCCCACATTTTAATTATTATTTTTTTGTCTGCAATTGCCATCTCATTATGCATACAGTATACGAAAAATTCAATAGATGTTCCAGACACCAAATTTTTGGCACCGTTGTTAAGGACTTATGAGTTATTGTGACATGAACATTACTAATTGCTAGTTTAGGCATTTTAGTTTATTGTCTTTCACTCTTGCTTTGTTTGTTTTATCGACATTTTCCTTCAAGGGTTTGTCGCCAATGATTTCTCGTCATGAAACGGTGGTAGCTATCCCTATAGTTGCAATTTCTCATCTACCACAGATCGTTATGAAAAACTTGCATTAATAGTGGCATAACTAGTGAAATAACTTGAGTAATCTCTTGATTGGTGATCCAGTGATTGTCTGTGCGTGATTTCTCGATTGTCATAGACAATCATCAATTATTCGCCAATTCCAATGCATGCACATTGGTTCTTCGAAATACAAGCTAGCATGCAGGCATGATTTCTCGTTTGCCATGCATGACTAGTCGGGGTAGGCAAACAAGAGTGATGATCACAAGTGTGAGCTTAAATTCGACATATTATTACTAAAAAGGTATATGAATACTCATGGCTCCACCCTCTAAATAACATGTGGTGTTTAGCTCGATATCGAGAGGGAGGGAGCATACATGGCTTATCCTCTTATACCATGCGAGTCTAAACTACTAAAGGATAGGATCACGAAACATGTCGCAGTTCACCCGCAAAACGGAGATACTTTTGACCTTTCGATGTTCCGAATACCTTTACCTAAAGACCAAGACCCCTATTTACACCAACTCCCAAAGACCTAAAAAACCTAATGCTAACCGACATTACATAGTATTTTCTCCTTCTTATCCGAACTTGACCCCAATCAGAAAATTAAACATCAAACTACTTATTCAATTGGGTCAACGACTTAAACCGATTTGACAACCTTCCATCTCATCCCTTATAAGTTATAACATAACGGTGTGGTTTTTCCAAGGCCAGTCTCAGTCATCCAAACCGGCATCTCTCTCACCCACGCCATTTCCTGCCTCTAAAAGAGCATCCCGCTGGCCCGGCCGTTCTCCACGCAGTACTACAACGACTCGACGACGCGGTTCTTCACAAAGTCCTAACAAACAACCAAACGGCTATCCAAATTTCCAACCTTTTCAACTCCCAACTCTTTCCCTCGACTCTCTCGCTTTTTCGGCAGCGCCCAATTGACCGCCGCCGCCGCCGGAATCTCTTTCCCCACAGCTCTCCCTTCTTTACCATCGAAGCCGGCTTCCGCTTCCGGCTGCTTTCTGCTGCTCCGTCTCCCCGTCCTCCGCTTCTTCCTAACATCTGTGAACAGGTGAAAATTCAGCTTTACTCTCTCCGTAGGATTGTTAGGGTTTTTTTTTTTAGCTTCCCACCGATCATTTATCTCCTTCGTTGTTCGATCGAGAAGATTCTTGCGTTTACGTGTTTTAGGAATTTGCTTTATGTTGACCCTTGAGTTCTGGTTCGTTTGTTCGTCTCTCAGACTGAAAGATATCAGATCAAATAGCTTCCTCTGTGTTTTCCTATTTTGAGCTGTTCTTCAATCTGTACAAATTCTATGTTTGACTGGTTTTCCGATTGGGAAGATTCCTGCTTCATTTTCTTTGACTGGGTTCGTGATTTATCCGTTTTTTGTTTGCCGATTGATCGAGATTCGGAGGCTGACAAATTATAGTCCATTACAGTTTGATTGATATGATACCCTTTTTGTTTTTATCAAAGAGTTCGTCGAGTAAGCGACAGAATCTTGCGTTTGTCTTCTTTCTTTCTTGTTAATGACGATTATCTGGGCACGTCCAATATGTATAACTATCCCTTTAGCCCGTCATTTGGAGGTGTGATTTTGATTTGGTCATCTGTTTAATTGTGGTAATTCTGATATCCGGGTTTTTCTGGGTAAACAGGTATACTTGCCGCCTTTAGAAAGATCTGCAGCGATGCCTTCTGCCGTCTCCCCTCAGTGGCAAGAAAAGGCCACTGTTTTCTTCTCCACCTCAGGTATTCTCTGATAAATGTTCCAGATAACGCTTTTCTGGCGATATATTTTCTACTATCTTCTGCTAAACTGGTGATCATAACCCAGGTGTAAAACTCAAAGAAGCTGGGAACTCGGCAGGAACATTTGTTGGGGAAGTTGCAAAGGATGCTAAAGGTAATGTTGCTGATGCTGCGGAACGTGTTGGATCGGCTGTGAAAAGTCGATGGGCAATTCTGAAGGAGCCATCAACCAGGCATATCCTCCAGGAACGTTTTATTACTGCTGCTGCTACAACTGGCATGTTCTTAAGAAAGGGCTTCTCCGAGACAAAGGATAAAGTTTCTGTTGGGAAGACTAAAGTTGAAGAGGTATTTCTTTTTTAGTGTTGTGACTGGTTTGGCAATCTGGAACACCTCACCCACAGTTCACATGTGCATGTAAAAAGAAAGGACAGCAGCCATCACACGAATGTACCGAGTAATTGCAAATTCTGAATCTCTTTCAGGTAGCCAAGAAAACTGCCCAGAAAAGCAAGGTCATCTTGACTGACATTGAAAGATGGCAAAAGGTATGGGATTCAGTTATCCTTTTCCTTTTATCCTGTTGAATATTGGTGATTATTTTGTGTTTCTAATTTTTTTCTCTTTGTCCGTTTTATTTTTCAGGGAGTTGCAAGTACTGATGGTAAGTCTTGTAGATGTGTAAATACCTAGATTCTTAAATGGTTAGGCGTACTTGCTTTTTTATCTACTTTGAGTGCGTCTTTTCCCTTTGGATTTTTAACTTCGACTTTGGAGGTTCCGTATTCTATTGTGGTCTGTAGATAGATTCCACTGCTGGATTCTGTTGAAAAATTATGTGAACATCATACATAGGATGTCAGAAAGCTTTGAATCACTGAAAATATGGAAATCAAACTCTGCTGTTTGTGTTGTTAACAAATCGGGATCTTGTTCTTGAGTTCCTCGTCTTAGGAGTAAAGCCAGGCATCAGTACCTGGAAGATGGAGGACTCCTTAGTCTTTCCTGCCAATATGGACATATTTTTAAGTTTTACTGACTTGCATACTAATATTTATATTTTTGTATCTCAGTTTTTGGGGTTCCCATAGAGCTAACTGTACAGCGACAACAATATAGTAGGCCCGTCCCCATTGTTTTATTGAAGTGTGCAGATTATCTCATATTATCAGGTATAGCTTTTTTTGGAGAACTGATGTAAGTCTACATGTTTTCTTCCTGGTTCCTTCTCTATATTGACTGTATATCAGATAAGTAAGCAGATTCTCATTAGAAAAAATTATTTCAGGGTTAAACTCTGTTCACTTGTTTAAAGATGAAGGGGAAAAAGTTACTGTCCAGCATCTGGTTTCACTGTTCAACCAAGGTATCTTGACTATTACCTACCAAAAATCAATTTGTTGAAATGCTCTTAGAATTAACTTAATATGCTGGTATGCTGTTGCAGATTTTGATGCTTCACTGCCTGATGGCATTAATCCCATCGATGTGGCATTTCTAATGAAATGTTATCTGGCAAGTCTTCCTGAGCCCCTAACCACCTTTGAGCACTATGATGCCATTAAAGGTGCGCGATCTAACATACATGCAATGAGAAATATCCTCAAGAGGCTTCCTACTGTAAATTACATGACACTGGAGTTCGTCACTGCGCTGTTTCTCCGTGTTAGTCAGAAATCACTTCTCAACAAGGCAAGAAGACTCTGTCTCACTCTCTCTACATCCATCCATCCCCTATATAGTTTATAACAATGTGCTCCATTCCCATATAGTTTATAACAAGGGGCTTTTGGGGAATCCATATGATTGTTTGTTACATGGGGAAAACTAGGTTTAGCACTTTTCCCAATTTCAACAGGATGGATACCTTTGGGCTTCTTTACTATTGCCTATTTATCAATCATGGATAATAATCCATGGAGTTTCTGGAATTCCCAGTAATTTTGTTTTTTCTGGCCTGTGACTGGGTCTCTTGTATGCGAAACTAATTATTATTGTGTCTGGTTAGTGGTTACTACAGAGTTATCAGATTTTCGTGATATTTAAGCCTAAGAATTTGAACTTGAGATGAGAACTTTCTATGCATACTGATGTGTTTGCTTTTTGTTCAACCTTTTCTGCAGATGGATGCTAGAAGCCTTGCCATGGAAATGGCCCCTGTTGTGATGTGGCGGAAAGAGCAGAGACCAGAATCTTATAGGCAATACTGGAATTCCATGTTCAGAAATTCGTCCAAGACCGACGGCACAGATGGGAAACCTACACTCACTGAATGGGACCTGCTCTCTGGTGTGTTGAACGTTATAAGAATATGCTTAATTGATAATCAAGGTGTATATACTCATTCTTTTATCTTTGTTGTTCGTGGCTCGACAGAAGAAGGTGAAGAAATGGAAGTCTCCTCAGCCATTCCACTGGATGACGGTGCACCGGTGGACTTTGGTGCTATTGAAGTTATACAGTGCCTCATTGAGCAACACAACTCCATTTTCACGGACGCAAATGAAACGGTTTGGAGATAAGGTGGGGAGCAAGGAAAGGATCCTTTGTGTTCTTGAATTCTCTGATTTGCAGTTTCCAGATGCATGCTTCTGATCTGCTTGTAAATGCCAGCATTTTATAGATTCTGTGTGTCCATAATATGTTTTAGAAGGGGGAAGCATTTGGACGTTGCATCAACAGGTTTTGGTTTGTTTCAAATTCAAGGATTGAAAAACCGTATCAATGGTCAACTAGAAAAAAAATCTCCTATCGAAGGTTGAATCGAAATGCAAAATTTAGCGGTATGTAATGGTCGGACCACGGTTTATGCATAAAATCTCATATCGTTGACTTTTCTGGTACAACCTTCGATACGGTTTTACAATCCTTGGTTTGTTTTTTGTTGGGTGAAGTATGTTGTGATTCCCGAATATCGGTTGCTATAGAAACATAATTCTTGTCAGTAAGTTGTAGTTGTGGTCCTTCCCGTTTTCCTTTTTTCAGATTTTTTCCCCAATGTACTCATTGCTATAAGTAATTCGCATCATACAACTACACATGTTTGGATTTGGACCAGATCATTCGAGACTAAAGAGATGATGAACTGCTTCCGTTGAAAGCAATCAAACATGCTGACCGAATTTGTCAAAAGCGATTTTCATTGTAGGTAAAATCTCCAGGCACACGACGTTGGAGGTGGAGTTTGAACTTCAACAACAACAAGGATGGAATGCTCGTCAGACGGAGGAAGATCTGATGCTGCTTCCTCTATCCGATAAGCATTCCGTCCTCGTTGACATATGAACTACTCAACGATTAAATTTTTTAGTTGACTATCACTTAGAACTACTTTAACGGAGATGGACAATCAGTACCCAACGATGAAACAAGGAGTATAGTCAATTACTAGTAAGAAAAGAAAATTACAAGTGAAAAAGTGAAATAAATTGAGTTGAGGTAACAAAATCTATTGACAAAAATTAAACAAAATTAGTAACGAGGAGTCGAGGACCAAATCTTATAATTTATTTTAAATTAATTAAGCAAAATATTCCAGATTTTCTCTTTTCTGCCGGTAGTGGCAAAAACGTTGTCGTCTTGGCGAATCCAACCAAAAAGAAAAGGAGCCGGCTGTCATGCCACTGGTATTCCCAACGATCCAGTAACGAGTCCCGACTCACTACTCGCACATTACAATCGCCGGCGAATAAAATTCTCTACTTTGTCACCGCCGGCAGGCTCACGAACTGCCAGAAAGCGAATGAAAGAACTGGAGGCAACCAGTCGAGACCCCCATTCACGATCGATGCTGCCGGGAAAAAATCGCCTCGCTATTGTCTACGTCCTCACCTCTTTTCTCGCGGTAAAAAATTTTTCTCCTTGTTTTCACCTAACTTCAGACCGCCGGAAGCCTGCCTGGTTGAGTGATTCCTTATTTCCATGACTGTATCAGGTGGCTGAAAGCTCTGGCGTCGGGATTTCAACGCAGTATCCTTTAGTAGTGAGCACTTGGCCATTCAGAGAAGCAGTCAGAGCTGCTTGGAGGGCCGCTGACTCTGGCCTCTCCGCCGTCGATTCTGTTGTGGAGGGTTGTTCTACTTGTGAAGTTTTGAGGTGTGATGGCACAGGTAAAAAAAAAAAAGAATCGAGCTGTTCGCACTATCAAACTGCGTCTATTTTGTTCTGATTGTCATTTTATCAACATCGTTTTGAATCTTTGAGCTCAAATTAGCTATATCCACTTCATGGGTTTACCAAAAGGAATTGGCTTGGTTATGGATGTATTCAATTGTGGTTCCGTTCTGGTAGTGGTTTTTGTAAGGTTGTTAGATTTGTTGGTCAATTCGAGTTTTATGTCTTTGCTAAGCTTGTGTTTATGTGTCATGGCTGGAATGACCAGTGGGGCCTGGTGGGAGTCCTGATGAGAATGCAGAAACCACAATTGATGCCATGATCATGAATGGGGTAACCACCAATAGTCCTGTCACTCCTTGGTTCCTCTCGTTGCTATTTTGTATTGATGCTTAGTTGCTTACTCTCCCATTTTGGCACAAGGGTATGCATAGGTGACCATGGAGGTGGGAGCTGTTGGCGCCATGAGATATGTAAAAGACGGGATCAAAGCAGCTAAACTGGTGATGCAGTACTCGAAGCATACTTTCCTTGTTGGAGAGCAGGCTTCAGTTTTTGCTATTTCAATGGGTCTCCAAGGGCCGACCAACCTCAGTTCATCGGAGTCCATAGAGAAGTGGAGTAACTGGAAGGATAATGGTTGCCAACCCAATTTCAGGCGGGATGTGATACCTGCAAATGGTTGTGGTCCTTATCGTGCTAGGGACAGTGTAGGTAGTAAAAAGGTCGGGTGTTCCCAGTCCGGCTCAGTGGAAGAAACTGAATCAAGATCATGTCTTGTTGGGCCTCACAACCATGACACCATATCAATGGCTGTTTTCGACAGAGTAAGTCTGGAAAAAAAACTTCAACTTTGAATTATATGCAAGTTGTGAACTTTCTTCTGTAAAGACTTCACCTTTGAAGTTACTTTTGTGCAGATGGGGCACATAGCTGCTGGTACGTCAACTAATGGAGCCACTTTTAAGATCCCTGGCAGGTGAGTAACTGTGGTTACTGGAAACTCTTGTTTAGAGAACTTTGTATTTAAGGTGTTGTTTGATGTTGTGTTTCCAGTTTCGATGAACGAGTAGTTAGGGCTCGTTGTGTGCATCTGGTAGGGTGGATTGTGCACTGCGGGTGTATTATTGCAACGATCTATTGGATAATCTCCGTAGGTTTGTTATAGAATGATTGAGTGAAGGGTAGCTTGCCAGAATGTGCCGTGCTTTTTCCAATCTCCTAGTCTATTGTTGCGAAAAGTTAAAGTTAAGGCTATTTTAGTATGTGTAGCATTATGGATACAATGCACTCCCTGTGATCCACATGCAGCAAAGACTTATACCAAATAATACACTATGATAATTTATATCTATTTCCAGAGCTATTTATTTCTTCAGAAGTTATGTAGTCTCATAATCTACTAATGCCAATCTCGACAATCCACCATCCGAATAACACCTGAATATGAACTGTTTGTAGGCAGAGCAGACATTTATATCGAGATGCTAACTCGGTAGAAGTTCTTCTGGGGTTACAGGGTTGGAGATGGACCCATTGCAGGATCTGCAGCCTATGCAGATAGTGAAGTAGGAGCTTGTGGTGCTACTGGCGATGGAGACATCATGATGCGCTTCCTTCCTTGGTACATTGCTCTATATCCACCTGTAGTCTGTTTTAAGTTGTGAAACGGAAGGTTCTGAACCATCTCTTGGAAACTTTAGCCAAACTGCCATGCCCTTGTGGTCTTATTACCATTGCTTGAGACTCAAATATCTCAGTCATTTCCTCTTTTTGCCAGCTACCAAGTTGTGGAAAGTATGAGACGAGGCATGGAACCTAAGCTAGCTGCCGAGGATGCGATTTCCCGAATCGCAAGAAAGTTCCCCGATTTCGTGGGAGCAGTGTTCGCAGTGAACACGAATGGAGTCCATGCTGGAGCTTGCCATGGATGGACGTTCCAGTATTCGGTCAGGAATGCTCATATGAAAGACGTGGAAGTTTTCACAGTGTTGCCTGATCAAAACCCCACCTTATGAACACGCATCTGCTCTTGCTGTGTTCTTCCAAAACACCTTCGTTCACTCTCCACCAGAAGCTTGTCTCTTGATGGTGACCAACAGCGTTGTCCACGTCCGTTATTATGTTTGTTCAGACATTGCATCAAAATAGTGTATTCACTTCACGCATCTGATTGTGATCCCATTGTACATTGCCAGAAAATATTGCAATTAGAAGTTTACACAAGTCAAGTTACAGTGCCATTGTCTTCACAATTATTTATCTATTCTTACTCGTAGGAAAAAAAAAGGGAAAAAATTAGTTGTCTAGATAGTAAGTGTATGATTATGAATAACAAAGGTTATGCATAGTATCCTCTGTGAACACACCCAAACTACATGGGAGCGGATTCTATGTATAACATTGTTATGCATAACTCTACAGTTAGCATTTATGAGAGACAACTAGTTTGTTCCCAATCAATTTTAGCGGGTTATATTTCCTGAATTTAAGTCGTAATTTAATTTTTTGAATAGGTAAATTAGATTTAATTATGTTCTTCAAAATTATATCCACTTTGATATAATTCGAAACAAAAAATTGTGATATTTATTGCCCGTTCATACCATGGTGGTAATGCTTGGTAGTACATGGGAATGCTAATCGGATTGGTTCGGTTAATCACTAACCGATATGGTGGTTAGCGGTTAACCATATACCAATAACCGAACTGAAGCCTTAATCAGTCTTATTCATTTAATCAGGGAGTACCAACTAGCATAAAATAAAAAATAATCAGACTTATTTAACTAATTAGCGAGTACCAACTAGCAAGACATCAAGCACAAACACCACAAGATCATCGTCATTCACAAACATCAAAGAAAAAAAGACCACTAGGGTGTGAGGTTTGCTCTATCGACTGCAAAGTGGAGTTTGAGAGGGGTGATTTTCAGGTTCTGACTTTTAAACACATTTGAGACTCTTGGTGGAGGGATGTTTGCAATAGGTGGGAATTGGGATGTTTGGAATTGCGAGTTTGGTTGATTTTGAATCTTGAAACATTTCTCTTTAGCCAAAAGTCCAAAATTATGTGGTTATACTTGTAGGTGTTCTTCCCGCTCACTGATCACGATCAGTCATTTTGACTTTATTGGTTAACCATTAATCGAGTAGCCGGTTAGCGGTTAACCACTAAGCAAAATATTGCTAACCAACAACAAACTAATAAGAAATTATCGATTAACCACTAACTGTTTTTATGAGTTCGGTTATCAGTTAAAATCGATATGTATACCACCCCTAGTAATACATAAGATTATACCAAGATGATATGAATATACAATATTGTAGAATGGTTATGTACACGATAATATGAATACACTAAGTGTCATTTACCACCGTCATTCACTAGTTATCACCCTATACTAGGGTGATATATTTGTTCCTGAAATTCCCCTCTACCCCATAAATTTGTAGATCCAATAGATCGTGATGAACTCGTTTCTTCTCGACAAATATTTTTAAAATTTGAATGAAAAATGAAGGCGGTGCAGAGAAGTATCAGGTGGTACCAGAGTGGTAACGACTAACGAGTGGTATCAGTGGTGCGAAAACTTTTTATTTAAATATATTGACAATAGATATCATTTTGTAGATCACAACAAACTCGTTTCATCAATATAAATTTTTTGAAACCCAAATTAAAAAATGTTAAAAATTATTAAAAGAATAGGAAAAAGAAAGTTTTAATCTCATTTAGATCTGACCAAAGCTGATTATGTAAGTCTTTGGTCATGCAACCTATTTTAGACCAAATAACATATAGCCTGGTTCATGTTGCCTGTTGCGGACTACTAATAACAGAAACAACAGGCGGACGAGTTTTGTAGAAAGCCCAACAAAACAAATAGAAGCATCTGCAACTCAAGAGCAAATACCCGGTTTGTTTGTATCCGAGTCCAATGAACTCACAAAGAATCTCGGCTTGGGTTTTTGGATCGTCTAATTTCAAGCTCATCGCTGCCTGTGAATCTGCCCGATCGATCATCCGCTAGAGGAACTTTCAGACAGACAATCATGGAGGGAGAGGACTCTCGTTTAGTGGAGAAAACAGAAGAGAGAACCAGCGCTACCACCACATCCGACGCGTCTGCCTCTGCTGATGGCGATTCTGACGGCGAGCAAGCGTCTTCTTCCGCTTCGACCTCGACCCTTTTCATGGATAACGTCGGTGAAGTGGTTCTCACACTCGGTTCTGATGGGTTGTCGTGGAAATTCCCGGATTCCGATTATAAGGTGAGTTACCCTTTTGTAAATGTCGTTTCTTTTTGGATCATTGAGGAACGCATTAGCTGGGAAGACGTTGATTTGCTACCGCGCATGGAATTTTTTGGTCTTTTGATTAAAAGGGGTTCGCCTTTTGTTTCTAGGAATCTTCCCTTTTTGATCGTCTTTCAAGGAACCTCTTTGATTCGGCAATTTTTGTCCAATTTTATTGGAGATGTTGATTGAAATGTGCTGATAACGTTGTTAACTGTGGAATAGGATTTATCTTCTTGCTTTGGGATCAAATTGGGCGGCGACGTTGTCACTGAGATCAAATTCTCAGAGATATATGGGGTGGAGTTGATCAGCTATGGCGTAATTCGCGGTTCTAATCACCCGAACATAGGGAAGCTCATATCACTCCATGGGCATGTCGACACGCAGGTTTCTTGAATTGGCATTTCATTTGCGTGAATTTTCTTAATGATTAGGAGATCATATTGTAATGCTATTTCCTAAGCTTGTTGAATAGATGTATCGCTTCACGGTGCATGGTATTAAGAAGTCGCAGCACTCTCAACTTTGTCTGGCAACATACACTTTCGGCCACAAGGATTCAGAGATCTGCCACATGTGGACTGATTGGATCGACGCTTCTCTGAAAATGGAAGTTGACAGACCAAAGAATCTTCTGGTTCGTTCAGTTACTCTCATTCATATTTGGGTCTCTACATACACTATCAGTGGACAATGGGATAAACTAGTTATAAAGTTGTTTCCAGACTTTATTTCTTATTGACTAGGTTTTCGTTAATCCAAGGAGTGGGAAAAAACATGGTTGCAGAACGTGGGAAAATGTGGCTCCGGTATTTTCGCGTGCTAAAGTAGCTACAAAGGTAAACTTTCTGATACTGTATGCATCTATGAATATGCTAGGAAGCTTACTTTATGTTCGTTATTGAACTTGGTATGAAACGGCACAAATTAGCTTGATATCAATGGAAGTTACCTACTAGGTAAAATTAAAACAGAAATCGGATGCAGGGGCATCAGATCTAGGTGAAGGGCTTCCATGTCTCCAGATTCTCAGTCTTGGTGACCTAACTGTGCAATAAGAACCCTTGAAGATGCTTTTGACCTTGTATCAGATTATGTGCAGACTTAGAATGCATGTATTAGGGTATAAATTTTGGTGGGCGTTTATACTTTATTGTTATGTCCAATCAAGTTTATTGATGAGTTTTTCTTAACCCCGCCTTCAGTTCCTTGAAAATGCATGATAATTTTCACATTTTAGGGCCAACAAGGTGAAAATATTTGAACTGCGATGTGAAACCTGTAGGCCATCTGTTAGATAATTCTGGAATCCTTGACGGTCATAATTAACTTGCTTAATTTCATTTGAATAAAGATTAGAATAATTGAACATGTTGATATTTAAGATTGATCTACTGATCATGGTTATATATAGTTATGCATCACCATAATTTTGCTCGTTATCCATTCAAGCATGATTCGAAATACTTTCTAATTTACCTTCAGGTGATTGTGACAGAGAGGGCAGGACAGGCTTTTGATGCCATGATTTCTAGCTCAAATGAGGAGCTACGTTCATATGATGGTGTCATAATTGTTGTAAGCACTTAAAATTTCCCATTTCGCGGATACTTGTGATCTCTGTGTTACCTTATTGTCCGTGCATGCTGTCTGAGTTCCTGATTACTGTTTCTGCTCATTGGTTTTTTCTAGGGTGGTGATGGCTTCTTCAATGAAGTCCTTAATGGATTTCTACTTTTTAGGCTTAGAGCTCCTCATCCACCATCTCCTTCAGACATCCTTCACTTGACTAGGAGTAATGGCCCTGTTTTAGGCCATGATACACGAGAGGCCACATCTGAAACTCCTGAAACTGAAGCTGCGTCTCCCCTTCTTTCATCCTCTTCAACTCATAAAGCCATTGGGTTGGCAAATTCCAGTATGGCATTTTGATTTACCTGTCCATTCATGCTTTTGCATTTTTGTTTGTTGTTAAGATTGTTATCCTAACAAGTTCATGAAATTACAGGTACCGAAAATGACTCAGGCTACACAGGTCAGTGATATTCACTATGTAAAATTAACGCATTTCTAGCGAATACGACTTGGATGTGGCTGAAAATTTAGTAATGGTTAAATTTCAATATTTATTTTCTGAAGATGAAGAGCTCGACTTTCCATTTCCTCGTGAACACTTGAGATTCGGAATTATTCCAGCTGGTTCTACAGATGCCATTGTGATGTGGTACTTGCTTGCTTGAGTAATTCTTTCTGTTACAATATAACATTATGGATTTCATATGATCATCTTTGCTTGTTGATTGTGAAATACTGAACCCTTGTTTTCATCCTTATATTGTAGCACTACTGGAACTCGAGATCCTATAACCTCTGCCCTGCAAATTGTCCTCGGAAAAAGAATCTCTCTTGATATAGCTCAAGTAGTGAGGTGGAAGACAACATTTACAGCGGATGTCGATCCTTGTGTACGCTATGCAGCTTCTTTTGCTGGGTAATTTCTCCCTTTTGTCTTGGTCTTATTATACTCCATTGGTTTTTTATTAAGTGCTCTAGTTTTTGTGCATTTGGTTTCGAAAGTGGGGTTCTCTCTGCTCTATATATAGTAGCAGGCAGGATATTCCCTTGTTCTTTTTTTCTTTTTCATTTTTTTTTTTCCGTAGAACACCTTTTTCATTTTGTTCAGCTGTGGATGACTTATATTCTTAATTCTAATTGAGATATCCTTAATAGGTATGGATTTTATGGAGATGTCATTACTGAGAGTGAAAACTACCGCTGGATGGGCCCCAAGCGCTATGATTATGCTGGAACTAAAGTGTTCTTGAGACACAGGTACGCCTCCAAAAATGTTTACTTGCAAATGTCAATGCATACTTGAATTCCTTTATATTTGCTTTTTTGTATGAGATGGAATGTTTCTTCGCTTCTGTACCTTTTGCTGCACACAGTTGAAGCATATAAATGAACATGTGCAAGAATTACTTATATTTGCATGTTTCTTGGACCCGAATGGATCACTATGGAGATCCTCAGCATGATAGTTACTTAGCACGAGCATGCAGTTAGTTAGTGTTCCAACTATATAGCATAGACAGCCAAAATCTTCCATAATTTCCACTCCAAACTCAAGGAAATAATGTGGCGTGCAAACAGAGTTTCACATTTTTATGAATTTTGCCATTTCGTTATCCAGGTCTTATGAAGCAGAAGTAGCATACTTCGAATCAGAGTCAGAAAACCCGGAATCGCCAGTTGAGAGAGGTAGTAATCCGTGCAGCAGCTGGATGAAATCAATGTGTTGCTCGGAGAAACCCCAAAGAGTCATTTGTCGTGCGAATTGTGGGGTATGTAGTAATTCCAAGCCAGTCCATATGTCCAAAACAAGACAGCGTTTAACGCCCTATTCATGGCGTGGAGGGGGAGTAGGAGGACGGTGGCAGAAATGTGCGGGACGATTTCTCAGCGTTGGTGCCGCCATAATATCAAACAGAAACGAAAAGGCACCCGACGGTCTGGTTGCTGAGGCCCACTTATCAGACGGCTTCTTGCATCTCCTGTTGATCAAAGACTGCCCACGTGCTCTATACCTATGGTGCCCCCAGCGACTATAAAACTTTCTTGAGCCGTTTTTGCTTGATCTCTTGTGGCATATTGCTCGAGCTTTTAACAATGGCTATTTTTGGAATGATGTTGTCAGGCACCTTACTCAGCTTGCAAAGAAAGGCGGCGAGCCCCTCAACTTCAGTTTCGTAGAACACCACAAGGTATAACTTCCAAGCATCATCTGCTGCACAAATCATTCTGTCAGTAGTCGGTTCATCCTTGATTGTGTTTCTGTTTTTTGTCTGCCAGACACCTGCTTTCACGTTCACTTCCATGGGGAAGGAGAGTGTTTGGAACCTGGACGGCGAGCCTTTCCCAGCGCACCAGCTGTCGGCACAAGTGTTCAGAGGCCTTATCAGCCTCTTTGCGTCTGGCCCTCCTGTTTAGTAAAAAAAGAAAAGCAATAGGCAGGCAACGAACTTGCTTATTATCCATGAAGGATATGGTTCATCAGCATCATCATTTCGTAATCTATGTTTCCGTTTTGCTAATCGTTCCATTCCGATAAACTGAACTGCCCTCTCCACGAAGTTAACAGCAGCTAGGAAAACTGGATGAAACAATACTGTTGGGTTAGCATTTTGTTTGGAATGTAATTCAGTTAAGAGTTTGAATAATAGCCATTTCTCAGAAGAATCACTGTTCAGGGTAGACTTGAGATACAAGAAAGCCGGTGGAAGCTGGCTCTGTCAAATCCCTTGTAGACACAACCAGGCCCAACCACGATAATGGAGTTTACGTAGAAACAGGGGCACCTTCATTAATGGCGCTACCACTATTGTAAATAACAGTTTAATCAGATGTTTTGTTTTTCTGAGCTTAGTTTTTTTATTATTAACTACAATGTTCACTATCTCATTAATTTGCATATTTCAATTTAACTTTTATATAGTTGTTTAATCAGTTGTGACACTTTGCATAAATTGATTCTATTATTAAACCACATTAAGGAAGTTTTACGCAATACTATTCCATAAATTACATAAAACTTATGCAGGGATAATTATTTCATACGTATCAATTAAACAAAACTTACTACATAAGTATTTTCGTATTGATTAAGAAACTACGTAAAGTATTTTATTTCAACTAAATCGTTAAATGCTTGAATGAAATTTTAAATGCAATTAGCTTCTTACCGATTGGATAGCACGAGCCAAAACTAGGATTGATATATACAAGTAGGGTTGCTAACCAAATAGTGGTCAAACCCTTGGTCCCACAAATTCTTACTAATAGTAAAAAAAAATATACTGTACCGACCAAACCAGACCGAATTCACTATTGATCCAGTCTTAATCGTAAAATATCTTTCACTATCGGACCGCAATTCTTATAAATTTAGTTCGGATTCGGACCGGAACTGTTGCACACTCCTATATACGACCACCCCACGTCAACGCCTCCACTTGATCCGACTTTTGACTGACTTGCGTTGACTTGAGTCTTGCAAAACAGTAAGAACCTAAAAAAGACTCCAAACTTGGGCATAAAAACAGAGTAACTGGTCTGTTTCTTTCTTCCCCAGGCCCTTAAAATTGCGATCTTCAAGCCATCTTGCTCAGGATTCTTGATCGGCTGCTTGGCGCTGAACCTGAACCACCATGTCCACCCCTGGAGAGTAAGCTACCTCTCTCTCTCTCTCTCTCCCTCTCTGTTTCATGATCAAGTCATTCTCTTCCATGGTTTCTTACCACAAAGTTCTCTTGGGAATCATTTTATTGGTGGGGGTGACATTCTAGATACTATCGATCGTTGCCGCCGGTGAGCAAGACCTACGGAGTGGCTTGTCTAATGACAACCGCAGCTTTCTACCTGGATCTTTACAACCCCGAGAGCATTGCTCTGTTTTATGACAACGTCTTCAAACGCTTCCAGGCAAATAACAATACCCAAAATTACCACTCTAATTTACTCCAATCAAATGATTTTTCCTTGTTTTGACTGACGGGTCTGCTGCAGATTTGGAGGCTGATCACCAATTTCTTCTTCCTGGGTCCTTTTTCCTTCCCCTTTGCTTTCCGTCTAATCATCATGTAAGTATAGAAGAGCTTAAGCAACTCTGTTTCCTCTGTTTTCGTCCAAATCTAATCAATCTCTTTGATGCAGAGCGAAATATGGAGTTTCCCTGGAGAGAGGACCCTTCGACCAGAGAACCGCTGATTTCGTGTGGATGTTCTTCTTCGGAGCGCTCTCACTTCTCGTAAGTAACTCTCTGTCTTTCTGATTTACGTCTCCACCGGATTAATCAAGCTGTGAGTGTGATGTCACTCTTTCTTCATAACAAGCAGGTGATGCGGTTCCTGCTTTGTGGTCGCCTTTCATGGGTGTTTCTCTGGTTTTCATGATCGTCTACATCTGGGGAAGAGAATTCCCCAATGCCCGCATCAGCATTTACGGACTCGTCTCCTTGAAGGTTATAAATTTGTTTCCTTTTTCCCCCGCCGATTTTAGCTTCTATGCTCTGTTTTAACTTTAGCGAAAACAGGGGTTCTACCTTCCATGGGCAATGTTGGCTCTGGATTTGATCTTCGGCAACCCACTGAAACCGGACATCCTGGGAATCGTCGCCGGCCACATCTACTACTTCCTGACCGTGCTTCATCCCCTCGCCGGCGGCAAATACGTCTTCAAGACTCCTCGCTTTGTGTATATACTCTTCTTGTTTGGAATCATGTTTGCCTACAATTGTTCTGTGAATCAAGGAGGCTGGATTTTGAATCCTCTGTTTTTTCCCCCGGTCGGTGTAGGCACAAATTGGTGGCGTTCTGGGGCGAAGGGAAGCAGCTGAATTCTCCATTTCAGAGCGACCCATCGGCGGGAGTTGCTTTCCGGGGAAGAAGCTACCGTCTCAGTGGCGGCGGAGGACGACGACAAACGCCACCGGCGAGCGGTGGTTCACCAGCAGCAACAACTGGGGAGCAGCAGCAGGGGAATGCCGCCGAGGGAGTAGCTTTCCGCGGGAGAAGCTATCGCCTTGATAGTGATACACACACTAATGCATCCACTTAGGTAAAGTATACCCTAAATGAGGATTGTAATATATAGTGGAGGACATCTCAAGGTCGTATTCTACGGGGTTTCGAAACTATTGACACTCGAAGAATGTTGTCGTTATCTAATCGAATAATCGAGGTTGTTTAATCCTAATCAAACACAGAAGACGGTATTACTTAAGGTTCACTCAAGAGAAAGGGTATTTGGGTCCCTAACATCAGTCATGTGAATTGGCAACATAGAACTTCCTTGTATCATCGCTAACTATCCAAAATGTAGGCATCACTATTGTAACAAATGGATCAATGGTCATGACTCACTTGTTGATATGATCCCAAATTGCCAACCATTTACGTCACAATTACTTGACAAAGAAGCTATTGAAGTTGGGAAGAAGAAGGGCAGAATTTGGCTAAGTCAAAATCCGTGTTCAGGGTACATATTTTGGAGGCATGGTTCTCTCAATTGGCTTGGTGGAAATTCCATTTCAAGGGCTTGTGTTACAGATAAAGTTACCATGTTTCCAATGGTATGCTTTGTGGATCCATATAATTTCATTAAGGTTGTTTTCCAAGGCCTCAAATTTGCTACCTCAAAACTGGAAAACTGCCAGAAAATGACTAAGGCAGAAAACTGTTCTGTGAAGCCTACTTTGGAGCTCACTTCAAGGAGCATGGATGGGATTCAAGTCAAAAGGCTTCAACAACATGAAACTAGGTATGTTTGTGAACAAAGGGAAGGAATTGGATGAAGAATTGGAGTTCGGGAAGGCCTCGAACAAAAGGCGCGAAGTTAGTACGAAAGCTGCCTTTTGACTGTTTTGCGGGCAGCTTACTTGTGCGCCAAGAAAGGAAGTTTATGGCCGAATTTTGAGTCCTTTTTTAGAGTTTGTTTTTACCATAATTGTTTCCTAGTTCTATTAGGTTTGTATTAGGTTTTTATTGTCTTTAAATAGCTTTCATTCTCACGTTGTAAGGGATCCAAGTTTAGTTGAATGAAAATTGCTCCTTTGTGAGAATTGTGTTCTTTGAGAGTTCTCAAGAATCAAACCCTTGAGTTAGTTGTGTGAGGAATTCCATTGCTAATTCGAGAACCCTTGTGAGGCTTTTCTGTGAGGATTCCAGATTCGTTTTACAAGTTTCTTATCAATCAAGTAATCACCTTGATTGTGGCGAAATTCTACCTATCCGTTTTATTTTTCGTTGAAGAATTTTGAGCTGCGTATTCTGATCAAACAAAGCACCCCTGGTGCTTTATCACTTGTACTCCTAGCTAGGTGAATTAACCGAATGGTCATGCAATTAACAACTTAGCTAGAGCTCTAGGGTTAGATTCTTCAAGTAGACACAAACCCATTGAGCATATAGATAGCATTAAGCACAATCAAATGGACTTAGATTTGATAGGGAATCAAACAAAGGAGATTGCCTCATGAAAGAGGAGAAGAAAGAGTTACAAAGAGGAAGGAAGAACACCATCTTCAAGGGAAATTCAATTCTTCAACTCTAATCTTCTAACTCCAAGTCTAGGAGATGAGCAATCTTCCATTTTTCTCAAGCCTTCTTCTCCACTCTAGGTGCAAAAAAACATCACTTCTCTCTTGTGGATGATAGAAATTTGAAAAATCATATCCCTATAGTTTGAATTTTGCTCTCTTATCTATAGGCCAGGGGATGCGTGAGATCAGGGTTGGAGTTCACCACCATAAAATCCAGATTGCACATGTGATCTTTTGAAACGATGCCGCTTGAGATCGTTGACTTGACAAATTGAGTGTTGAGCTATTTGAATTGTGTACCTATTAGTTAAATTCATTTTTGGAGGATATGTTATCTCTTTAGCTATGGTGGCCAATTACATAACCATTGAGTTGATTTGCCATAGCTAGGAGGGAAATTAGTGCATGACCATTGATCCAATCTATCTCATTAGTGATCCTTACACCTTGAATCACTTTCATTGAACCATTACGTTTTCCATTGCAAAGCAATTCCTGATGTGCTAGGGAAGGGGATCGATCCCTAAAAATTGTTTCTTTACATTGAAGCTTGTTTTAGTTTTGCTCATAGTGGGTATTAACAAACTAACTAAATTATCGACTAGATAACAATCAATCCTTCAAGTAGCAAGAGGCTTACTTGCCTGGGAATACGACCTCTATCAACCACTTTACTATGCCACCTAGCTGGGATATACATTGTCTGGCTTGGTGTAGTAGTTAGCACCACACCGAGTTATAACTTGGTACGAGTCAAGTACTACTGCAACCGAGTACTAGTACCATCATGAAAAACTGCTAGCAATATGCAAAATAAGTAGAGTTTTGGGTTCAACCGAGGGAGAGAGGGGGGTATATACATTCATATATGGAAGTGTAGCCGCAATCACATGTGGTACGATTTTTTGTTCCCAAAACTACCCCTGACTCAATCTTGATGGTCAGTTTAAAAAAGAAGGAGAAAGACGAAAATAGACGGTAGACGGGTGGGTTGTCATGTTGCCCCCTAACCTATTCCTCACTTTACTCGTTTCGTAAGATTGTCCTTGTCATCAAGGAGAATCTTTATTTGAGAGTTTCGAGTAATTTATCTAAAGTCTGGAGGACGAGGATCTGTAACAACTATACTTGTGAATTTACTCTTTTGTCCTTAACGTCAAGTTTTGGACGTGGTATTAGATTTTTTTATTTTTATAAAAGAAGCTGACTTTCTAGGAAACAACACACATTCATATAAGGCAGGAAGACATCTCTTTTGAAGCCTCAACCATGAGGTTGATCCGTTTCCACAGCTTGTGGTCTTCCATTCCACTAGCACAAAGCCCGGCCTATTGGCCGGGGAGTTGAAAGCTATATAATTTGTATGCATCGTTCAAATTCACCATGTGGGTTTTGTTTGTGTATTTACTCATGAAACTATATAGGCAAATACTCACACTACACTACAAATATGCTTAGAACGTATTGAAAACATGAGAAAGACGTACAATATGACTGACAAAGAAATGCAACTTACAGTGACATATATGTTTACAAACAAAGTCGCTTATATACAAAGTCTATAAATGACAACATAAGAGTTGTTTCCTTTGATACATACATAATCAATCTTTAGAAGAAAATGATTGTTCTTTGATGGATTTCAATATATCCACGAAATAGTTTTCTAATTTATCTTCCTTGTTGATCATGACACAAATTGTGCATTGAAATTATTTGATTTGGATGGTGAGAGCATGTTGGAGATCTGTCAAAAGTACGTAACTGGAAAATGCAATGCTTTCGATTTGGCGTCCAAGCGGTATATTTTAAATAAGATAAGCAACAATGTAGTGAGTCCCTGCAATTTTCACCATCATGTTAATCATAATTATCAAAAGGGCCAACTCAAATATGGGATATGTTCTAATGTAAAGATACATTTAAAATATGAACAATATATCATATATATGGGATAATTTCTTACTATTTCAATGGAAATGAATGAAATTAATTTACCTCTTTAGTCGAACAAATACGTCTCAATTGTTTTCATATACGTTTCCTCTAACGTTTGCATTTATTGCTCTAAATCTAAGTATAGGATGAATATTTGAGATGATAGTGAACATATAACTAATTTTATTACGTACACTCTATATGTTGAACAACATCAACAAAAAGGTTCAGAACGGGGTGCAATTGTTGACAATTTTGTTTTGTAAAACTATACAGTTACGACTTAACTCTTCAACAACAAAGAGACCTGACCAGATGATGAATTGTAGAGAGGTCGGAGATGCAAATAGTGCATTCAAAACTGGAGAATAGCTTCAAAGCTGAACCCGAGTTGCACTTGCAAGCAACTTTTGGAAAATCTAGTTCTTGAGGATTTCGAAGAGCTTAAATAAATTACTATTTGAAGCATTGCTACTCAATGTTAACTCTTACCACAAAATTAAACAAACTAAAATTACCTAATATGGCCACTAAATCAATTCCTAACTTCCTAGTATAACTCTATCTCATTTAACTATTCGGTTGTCACGTATATCAAAGTTACCATTTGAGTTAATTTGTATGAACTCATATGGCAACTAAGAACAATATAGCCACCACCATATTTACTTGGTATCACAACTACTTAAGTGTGTCCTACCAATTCCATGCCCCAAATTAGCAAACACTTTAACCAACCTAACTATAACCAAGTTTTGATGTAAAGTTCATTAGCAATAACTAACAATCAACAATCATGCAGCTTTCAATTGATAAATAAGTTCATAAAGAAACCCCAAAGCAATCACCATAAACATATTCATCAAAGCTAACCTCAAATTAAGTTCAAACGTTTAAGGACTAAACTACCAAGCATATAGTTTTTTTTAACTTGAATAAATAAACTACTCACACTACTAATAACCCATCTTCTTATCTTATTGGTAATTTCAAAGATAATTTTTTTATCATGTTGTTGCATGAGAAGGAGCAGTATCAATTTAATAATTTTGTTAAGACCAAAGAAATATGAAAATAAAAAATTAAAGACCAAAGAAATAATTAAAGGAGACTTAGTGGTGTAGCTAACCATGGTGGGAAAGCCTTCTGATTTTCATATTTTTGCTTCATGTATGTTTTTAGTTTAGAAAGATACAACAAATTTATTTAGGGAAATTGACTATAATTTTTGTTTTTGTCTGAAGGGATCCTGATTCAAATCTCAACACTGATTTATTTTTATAATAAAAACTAAATAAATGTAGTGACAAATGTACCCTTTCTATTTTCGCTCTCGATGCAGAAAATTTAAAATGAAAAAAAAGAGATGTTTGAATTTCAATATATACTCATAACCATAAAATCATATGGTTAAATTGTACAAAACTACATTTTGTACGCATACCCGTTATTCCCAATTTCCCTTTTTTTTTTTTTGACAAAGACATTTCCCATTAACTTATACATTTTGAATCCCCTCACGGTTGCATATTTATTAAATATTATGAGATGGTTTTATGGTTAGAGGCCCAAGGATAGGCCCATTTAAGTCCAAATTGTGGAGAGTAAATTAGAGCGGGATGGTTGCGTGAAACGAAACGCATAACATGCTTTAGCTGTAGGGGGAAATGTCCTCAATGCCCTTCCGTAAAACCCTCTATGGCCAGCAATTTCAAAATGCTGAAAACTTGACACATGAATCTCTATTATATATCTTGTAGATGGCCTGTTGGCTGGGACGCAAATACTAAATTTTGAGGAAACAATGTTGAGGTCACGTTATTGCTATGTTTATGTAGAAGTCGACTTATTACTACCATCAAGTGCACATAACAAATAATACAATGACCATTAGCCACATATCAAATATCAATCGCAAAACCTGAGCTTCTCGTTGCTTTGTCACGAAAATTATACAGTTTACTTGAATTCAGTATATGAAAAGAATTCCACGATAAAAAAAGTGAAAATAAATATTGTTTTGTAGAAGAAAAAAAGTGTGTTCTACAATATTTTTATTTATTCTTTGTGTTTCTTTAAGTTGCTCAATAATTTGTAGTCTAACAAAATTACACCTATCAATCAACAAATTTATCATGTGGGAATGATTCTAACTAAGTAACTATAAAGTATAAAGTCAAACAATGTCATCTATTAATAATCCATTCATCTAATCCTCAGTGAAATTTATTGACGGTAAAATTAGAGGAGATCATGCGTCTACTTCATTAGATCAGCTCCAATTGAATCACTACTATATTGGTGATGAAGTTTGGTGCAAACAAAAATTGATTTTTTCATGTCCAACAGTTGCGTTGGAAAAGTAATATTAGGTATAAATAAGATTGAGCGATTAACAACATAGGACTGTAAAAGCAAGCGTCGAAGATAATTTGTACCTCAATGGGATGTGAAGAATCAAGACTGTTAAGTATTCAGTAAAAGGTTTTTCAACATTGAATTTAATTTTTTCATGCACCAACCCAACTTTTACTGCAGCCTTTGTATGCTCTATCAGAAGTTTGAACCAAATCCTACCAGAACGATCAAGTTCGGTTGGTAATCAAAACCATTAAACCATTAGAATTGCACCTAGTAATTCTTTAACTTCTAGTTGTGCTTACTATCTACAAAGTAGAATACGATTCGTATATCAGACTTTTGATAAGTATTTTGTATTCTCGCGTAGTTAGAGTTGGATTAGACTTAAAATATTCAATTTCTTCTACCTAGAAATGTAGTACTAAACTTAGGTTCTACAATCTTATGCACTCAACAACCGAGGAACTTCCTTGTCAATCTTATATTCAGTTGTCAAAAACCCTTGTCGTGTGAATTAAATACGCAAATAGCAAGAGTTCAAAGAAGACAAATTTCAATTCTCACACCATCGGAAACTCCTTGTCAATCTTATAACATACATGAGAATTTCCATGGGATGTAATTGTTAATCCTAAATCCTCAAACTATGGACCACTAACCCTGTAATTGCCCTCCCAAAAGCATGGAAAATTTAATCACCGCACAACCACCAAACTCTAAATTGCTTGGAGAATCAAATTTACATGCATACTCAATTCCATATGCTTCATATTCGGTGGAGGTCCTGTGCACAATTAGTATTGCAGGTACGACGATGGCGTTCACGATTCGAAGGCGGTGGGGATAGCTACAGAGAATCTGAAATCTTTGGGCGGTGAATTCTTCGGTGTGGTATCAAGGATCTGAGCGGGCGAAGGATGGATTAGGATGATGTGCGGCGGAGGAATTGAGTCAAGGAAGCTAAGGATAATTCGATGGGAGAAGCTTCTGAATTTCCTCGGATGGAATCGGTTTAGGGATTCAGTTCAGTCGACGACAGGGAAAAACCCAAAGGGAAGAAAATAATTAAATCAAAACTAAAATAGTAACGATTCATTGATACAAATTAATCCGAGACGCACCGTGCTGCCGGTTTTGAGTGTGAAACGACGGTGAGGAATGGCACTTGGGGAAGTTACTGAAATGGCCTTCCGACAAACGCTCCCAGGGCCGGAAAATTCAAATGGAGATATCTAGATACTTGAAAACGTATTATTAATAGTCTTGATTCATTAGTGATTAGCGACTAATTGAGAAAGGAAATTTCCATTAGAACACAACCAATTTCCTTCCTCTGGGTTATTTAATGGTGATTTGATGTTTTCCATTCAAATATATGTTTTTTGAGCAATTTATGTGTTTTTATACTACAAAATATTCAACGAATAATATTTAAAAAATAGGAAAATATTGGAGGAGAAATAAGATATAGGGTTATAGGTATAATCAGGGGCAGACCCATGCATTAGCAAGGTGTGTCAACCGACACACCTTGGCTCGGAAATTTTGTGAGAGATCCATGTTTCGTTGGTACAAAAAACTTGAATTCGGGATTTCTGACACACCTCACATAATTGCAATCGACACACCTTTAATACACTATATTGATTTTGATGTCATATCGCAATATATAGGTACCAAAATACACAAATATATATTATTTATTTTAATTATTAGTGAAAATGTCGAGAGGAAAAAATCAACAACCCATGGCTCACAGTTCTCTGTCCTCTACTCCACTCTCTAATTGGTAGCACCTGCCGGTGAAACCTCATCCTCTTTCAAACTTTTACGTTAACGCCTGTCGCCAATGTTCCTGCTTTCCATTTTATGCTATGAGTTAATCAAGAGCGAACTTCAAAATCAGTTTTATGAATGAATTTTTACTTTTGGATGTCGAAAAAAGTTTGATCACACCATAAGCGACAAATATATTTTACAAACCTTTCTGAATATGAAAAGTTGTCGTGTGTCATTGTGAAAATTAATAAATTACGACCTTAATGAATTAATATTTTATTTTAATTTTTATTTAATACATTTAATTTATTAATTATTTTTTGTTTGCCGACACACCTATCAAAGAATCCTGGGTCCGCCACTGGGTATAATATGCCCTTCTACTATGACATTTTATCAGACATGTCCCTCTACTATTTTTTACATCAAATATGCCCCTGTACTTTGTAAAAATGATCAAACATGCCCTTTTGTTAAAATTTTCATCCAAAAACCGTTAACCAAGGCCGAACTTTAGTTTGGTCGACACAAATGACTAAAATATCCTTTTAAATTCACTTTAGAATTTTTTTGTTATTTTGATTCCTAAAGGCGCACCGAAACAACGGTTGATAGAGGCATTCGGGCAGGTGCAACTAGTCCATATACGATTCAATATGTCTCAGACGCGAGATCCACCAAAAAGACGGGGGGGAAAGATGAGAGAAAGAAGGCTATAATCAAATAATTCAAATAATTTCACTTTGAAAAGACCAATGGAAATAAAACAGGGGACAAAACTGACATTTTCTCTCCCATTTGCCGGTGTCGGGTGTCTACATCTCGGTTCAACCATGATTGACGATTTTTTCAATGAAAATTTTAACAAAAGGACATATTTGATAATTTTTTGAAAGTATAGGGGCATATTTGAGATAAAAAATAGTAGATGGACATGTTTGATAAAACGTCATAGTAAAGGGGCATACTATACCTATAACCCTAAGATATAATACTAGTCATTAGTCAACCGATTGAATATGAACGGAATCGCAGGCACAAGTTTTTTCTTTATTGTTTTGGATGATCATTTTCCCACCTATATCCAAAAAGTAGGTAGAAACCTACTCGATTCATTTCCTATAATATTTTATAATTTATATTTGAGTAGCTAAACTACTATACAGATTAATATTATAACCCATTATTAGACAAATTCTCACATCGACAAAGCACATACAAAATTCATAATTCATAAAGAACAATCCAATTTTAATGGATAAGAAATATTATGAGGTGAAATAGAGGAATTCTTACAAGAACTTCGTAGTTTAGTGTGGTTGGTGAGGAAATTAGACAAATTTCACGTAGACAAAGCATATAAGAGATTTCATAAATCATAATACATAAGGAACAATCCAATTTTAACCGACAAGAAGCATTTTGAGATGAAAAGAGAATCTCTTAAAAAAATTTTGAAGTTTAGTGTGGTTAGTGAGAAAAATAATTGGAAAAAGAGTATACGCATAAAAACCGATTTGTTTATTTATAGTGAAGTTGGCAGGCATTGTAATTTTTATTGATAGCCAGGCATCAATTTTTATTGATCACCATTAATGGTCAACCAGACAAATCAACTCGACATAATATAAGGTGGGATTCAAACCGGAATGCGACAGACAACTAAGAAGTCAATATTGTGAAGCTTGTTCTGTTCGGTAAAAGCGACATTTACAGAAGCGTAGGTGGGATGGATTTTCTCCCCTTAATTGAAAAATTCAACATGAAAAGGAGATTAAATATGAATATATTTCAACAATTCGAGTTATTGAGATCCGTTGGTTTATGACATGGTATTAGACCTAATTTGTCATTGAGGTCACGTATTCAAATCCTCACGAACAGTGTCGACTAAGAGAGTGTATCGGCACTGGGCATCCACATATGAAAGGGGCCCTCCACCTGGATCTGTTAGTTACTCCGATCGTATATTATAGGTTGTATTTGTAGTATATGATGAATTGATTACGAGTATGATGACGAGTTTATTTATATTAATTCATAACAGTGTTAGCTATTGCCTTATTGGTTAATATTCTCATGTACATATACACTAGACACGTATATAGATTGATAACTGATAGAACCTGGGATTAGGGTTCTATCGAGAATTGTGGGATTGGGATTTAGAACAGAATTAGGGATTGAGATTAGGAGAGGAAGAACAGAATAAAGAATCGGTCGAAGCCTTGGACTAGGCAAGAAGAGAAATTAGGAGATAGGGAGAGTTTAGGGTTTGGGGAAGATAATTCTTTAACTGATTTCTGCTTATCGATTGCCTAGACGAATAACGACGTACATATATAGGAAAAGAACGAGAAACCCTAACAATTAACCTAATACGACTAAAAGACTACTAACCTTAATAATAATAACCCTAATAATATTATAATAGAAACCCGATAGAAATCGGTTTCTATCAATAACCGTTGAAAACGATTGTAGGAAGAATGCAAAAATTATAGTGTTAGCAGATAATTGTTATTTTAAACTATGTTAGAAAGATGTTACATTTCAAGTAAATGATGATATAATCATTTTAGTTTTATTATATTTAAAAGTCAATTTGGACCACAGTTACACTTGGATTCTAATGATGGAAAAAGAAGAAAATGGAAGATAAGAAGAAAAGGTTGGTTAACAAAAAAGATAAGTAGGAAGATGAAAAGGGAAGTGGTCAATGCTCCAGCTCAGCCAACCCAAAAACCTTCCATTTCTGCGGAGTGGAAAAGGGGCAACAGACGGACACGCGACGAGTTGTTTTGCGAATTGCGCGAGGGCAGTGCCGAATCACATCACTCAGCTGAGAAAATCACAATCACAAAGCGCGACAAAATTCCCCTTTACCCGAATCCTACCCAGTGAGAAAGAACGATGCTTGATTGAAATCCTGCTTTCTCTTCCTTTCTGATAATTTTGGTGGAATACTACTTGTTAGTTTTAGGCCTACTCTGTTTCGTTGTTCTGTTGGAAGTTGAACTTGAGCTGTGAAGAGGTCAGCAATCCTAATTGCAGCAGGATTGGAAGTCTGGCGCCAAGGAAGATTTGAATAAAGGGAACGGTGACGTTTTTCTAAGTGTCTGTTTGAGTTGGTGTGATACGCAGCCGTTTGGTTTAGTTCACACTAAGTTCTTTGAGTCTTGTTTTTGTTACTGTTGAGTCCTGGTTTCGTGTTCTAGCTGTTGAGAGCTTTTAGCTCAAGTAGTTAGCAGATTAGTTAGTCATGGTTGCTGGAATCAAGGATAGAGGAGTTAGATCTGTTGTTAGCTACCGTTTGTGGTGGCCAGCACTCTGTATTTAAACCCTATTTCGATCTATCAATAAAACTCGTCAGTTTGATTCCCATTAGAGTCTACATTGTGGTATCAGAGCCTCTAGTGCAAACTGTAACCTGAGTTTTAGGCAATTGAGAGTGAGAAATCTGCAGAGGGGCTGCAGAAAGGATATTGGGAAACACGAGAGATTTGGTGAGGATAACCAAATTAAGGGTGAGTGACAAGCAAAAGAGTTGTGAGAAAAGATGAGTGAAAATAATGGTTTTGCACAGGTTGGCATACCAAAGTTTGATGGAGACTATGAGCACTGGAGTCTTCTGATGGAGAATCTTCTCCGATCTAAAGAGTATTGGAGCGTGGTGACTGAAGGCATTCCAGAACCCTCAACAAGGGCTGTTGTGTCGGCTGAGGAGTCCAAATCCTTGCAAGATCTGAAGCTGAAAGACCTGAAGGCAAAGAACTATTTGTTTAGTTCTATTGACAAATCAATTCTGAAGACCATCACCAACAAAGCAACAGCTAAGGATCTGTGGGATTCCATGAAGACTAAGTACCAGGGAAGTGCCAGAGTGCAAAAGGCACAGCTGCAGGGATTCAGAAGAACATTTGAAGTTCTGGAGATGAAAGAAGGTGAAACTGTGACTGCCTACTTTGGCAGGGTGATGCTGGTTGCAAACTCAATGAGGAACTGTGGGGAAGACATGCCAGATAGCAAAATTGTGGAGAAGATACTCAGAACTCTCACTGAAAGGTACAATTTTGTTGTCTGCTCCATTGAAGAATCAAAGGATATTGAAACCTTGTCTGTAGATGCACTTCAGAGTTCTCTGTTAGTGCATGAGCAAAAGTTTACTAAGAGAGCAGTGGGAGAAGAAGATCAAGCCTTGAGGATGTCATATGAACATGGAGAACGTGGTGGCAGAGGTAGAGGTAGAGGAAACTATTCAGGAAGAGGAAGAGGAAGGGGAGGAAGAGGCTGGAGTAAAGATGCAGTTGAATGCTATAAGTGTCACAAACTTGGACACTTCAAATATGAGTGTCCAGAATGGTATGATAATTACCAGGCTCACTATTCAAGATCTTTCACCACTCAGGACAGATCTAATGGTGATATGAAGGATGATGTTCTATTAATGGCCTATCTTGATCCTAAGCCATCACTAGAGACTGCAGATTCAGAAGGGTGGTGGTTTCTTGACTCTGGGTGCAGTAATCATATGAGTGGGGAGAGAAGTTGGTTCACAGAAATTGACACTACCTTTCAAGGCAAAGTGAGGCTGGGCAATGACTTTCAACTGGAAGTGGCTGGAAAAGGAGTTGTGAAGATACCTACTGGTCAAACTTCCTGGACCATTCAAGAAGTATTCTATGTACCTGGCTTGAAGACCAATCTACTAAGTGTAGGTCAGCTGCAAGAAAAGGGATTGACCTTTGTCATCAAAGGTGGTTGCTGCAAAATCTACCATGAGGAAAAAGGGCTTCTGTTGCAGACACAAATGAAGTCTAATCGCATGTTTGTGCTCCATGCTGAGCAGAAACAAGTCAACAGCCAGGTTCAATGTCTGCAAACTGAAAGTGTCAACACCTTGAAGCTATGGCATCGTAGGTTTGGACATTTGAACCTGCAATCACTACAACAATTGCAACAGAAGAAGCTGGTGCAGGACATGCCTCAGCTAAAGGGAGAAGTTGGAGTTTGCTCTACCTGCTTAATTGGAAAACAGCACAGAAAACCCTTCCCAAAGAAGAGCAACTGGAGGGCAACTCAGAAACTCCAGCTTCTACATGCTGATCTTTGTGGACCTATAACTCCAGTCTCTAATGGAGGAAAAAGGTACATTCTGACACTCACTGATGACTACAGCAGAAAACTGTGGGTGTATTTCCTGGTAGCTAAATCTGACACCCTTGGATGCTTTAAAAGTTTCAAAATGCAAGTTGAGAAGGAAACTGGTATGGCTATAAAGTGTTTAAGAACAGATCGAGGGGGAGAATTCCTCTTAACTGAGTTCAAAGAGTTGTGTGAAGCTGAAGGAATCAAAAGGCAGCTTACTGCTGCACTTACCCCTCAACAAAATGGGGTGGCTGAGAGGAAAAACAGGACTGTGATGAACATGGTCAGATGTAGCTTGGAAGATATGAAAGTACCTGCAGTATTTTGGCCTGAAGCTGTAGCCTGGGCTTCCCACGTGCTCAACAGAAGTCCAACTTCAGCAAATCAAGGAAGAACACCTCAGGAGTTATGGACTGGTGAGCCACCTTCAGTCTCACATTTCAGAATTTTTGGCTGTGTTGCTTATGTGCATGTACCAGACCAGCAGAGAAGGAAGTTGGATGACAAGAGTACTAAATGCCATTTTCTTGGTATATCCACTGAGTCCAAAGCATATAAACTTTACAACCCTACTGCAAAGAAAGTGGTGATCAGCAGGGATGTAGTGTTTGATGAAAGTGAAGGGTGGTCCTGGGAATCTGAAATTCAACCAGTACTTACCAAACTTGTGTGGGAAGGAAGTGATGATGAAGACTGGTATGATTCAGAATCTGAGGATCAAGCATCTGCTGATGAAAGTCAAGGTACTGAGCAAGATCCTCCTAGCTCAGAACCTGCAACTCCAGAACCTGCAGACCAGAATGAAGAAGAAGAAGAGTCTACTGATGTTCTGGGCTTACCAAGCTCAGATCTGGCACCAAGAACAAGAAGAAAGCCCAGTCACCTGGCTGATTATGACTGCAATTACTTCACCACTACTGACTGGGCAGTTATGGTGGCTATCACTGATGATCCCCAATCATTTGAAGAAGCAGTTGCAGATCCAAGGTGGGGAGAAGCTATGAAGCAAGAGATGATAGCTATAAGGAAGAATGATACCTGGATTCTGGTTAAACCTCCACCAGGGGCACTCATCATTGGCTTAAAGTGGGTATATCGAACCAAATTCAATGAAGATGGCACTCTAGACAAGCATAAGGCCAGGTTGGTGGCCAAAGGTTACTCTCAGCAGTATGGCATTGACTATACAGAAGTCTTTGCTCCTGTGGCAAGATGGGACACCATCAGAACCTTGTTGGCACTTGCAGCTCATTATGGTATGCTCATTTATCAATTAGATGTTAAAAGTGCATTCTTATATGGTGAATTGGCAGAAGAAGTTTATGTTGAGCAACCACAAGGGTTTGTGGTTGCTGGGGAGGAAGATAAAGTGTACAGGTTGAAAAAGGCATTATATGGACTCAAACAAGCCCCAAGGGCTTGGTACAGCAGGATTGAGAGTTACTTTGCCAAGACAGGTTTTGAGAGAAGTCCTTATGAACATACCTTGTTCATAAAGAAGAAGGGTGCTGCTCTTCTGATAGTAAGTATTTATGTGGATGATGTCATGTATGCAAGTAACGATCCTTCTATGCTTGCTGAGTTCAGAGAGGACATGAAGGCTGAGTTTGAAATGAGTGATCTGGGACAGATGAGATACTTCCTAGGTGTCGAGATCAATCAAACAGAAGAAGGAGTATTTATCTGTCAGAAGAAGTATATACATGACATCCTGGAGAAATTCAGGCTGCTGGATTGCAACTATGTCAAGAATCCAATGGCCCCTGGCCTGAAGCTCTCAAAGCATGGAGATGGCATGCCAGTGAATACCACTGAATACAAACAGCTCATTGGTAGTCTGTTGTATGTCACTGTGACCAGACCTGATGTAATGTTTGGAGTGTGCCTTTTGAGTCGTTTTATGGAAGCTCCCACAAGGCAGCATATGCTGGCTGCCAAGAGGGTGTTGAGGTACTTAAAGGGTACAATGAATTATGGCATATGTTACAGAAGAGGAGAAGGAGAAGCTGAGTTAACAGGGTTTACAGACAGTGACTATGCAGGAGACTTGGATGACAGGAAGAGTACCAGTGGATACATATTCTTTTTGGCAGGAGGAGCTGTTTCATGGGCATCGAAAAAGCAGCCTATAGTGACACTTTCCACTACTGAAGCTGAGTTTGTTGCTGCTGCATATGGTGCTGCTCAATGTGTATGGCTTAGAAGAATTGTGAAGCAAATGGATTGGGGGAGGAAGGCTGACAAGTCTGATGAAGCAACCAGGATGTTCTGTGACAACAGTTCAACTATTAAACTGTCGAAGAATCCAGTTCTTCATGGAAGAAGCAAACATATTGATGTTCGCTTTCATTTTCTGAGGGATCTGGTTAAGGATAATGTGGTTGATTTGGTCTACTGTGGTACTAATGAGCAGATTGCAGACATTATGACAAAAGCTCTCAAGGAGGAAACGTTTCAACTACTCAGGACTGAACTTGGAATCATGGATGCTGCTGAGTTTGCGTCTGGAAAATGAGACCAAGAGAAGAAGAGCTCAAGTTCAGGGGAGGACTTGTTGGAAGTTGAACTTGAGCTGTGAAGAGGTCAGCAATCCTAATTGCAGCAGGATTGGAAGTCTGGCGCCAAGGAAGATTTGAATAAAGGGAACGGTGACGTTTTTCTAAGTGTCTGTTTGAGTTGGTGTGATACGCAGCCGTTTGGTTTAGTTCACACTAAGTTCTTTGAGTCTTGTTTTTGTTACTGTTGAGTCCTGGTTTCGTGTTCTAGCTGTTGAGAGCTTTTAGCTCAAGTAGTTAGCAGATTAGTTAGTCATGGTTGCTGGAATCAAGGATAGAGGAGTTAGATCTGTTGTTAGCTACCGTTTGTGGTGGCCAGCACTCTGTATTTAAACCCTATTTCGATCTATCAATAAAACTCGTCAGTTTGATTCCCATTAGAGTCTACATGTTCTTCTTCCTTCTCCGACGCGCCGTTCGGCATCTCTGTACAACTTCCCCGCTTCTGGTAATTCCAAGGGATTCTTCAATTGGGTTCCTAGCAAATTTGCGCGTAATGGGTCGTCTCCCTTCGTTGTCAGCTCAGAATGCAACGCCGCCGGCCGGTCAGGTAACCAAGTTCTGAGCTTTATGTCAGGAATGTCGATATTCATTGGAATTTCACGATGCCCAGATGGAAACATTGTGTTTATGGACTCTTATCCGTCCTTCGGAATTGAGGGCATTCAAGTTTTCGAATTACTCGTTTTGATTTTTGGACTCATAATGAACAGAAACAAAAGAACTGAAAACGGAAAGCTTTTTTTCCTGTGTGTGAATTCTGTGAACGATCAATTTCTTGCGGATGCCTAACTCTTTCTCTTTGTCTGTATCTGTTTTCTTCTGGGTGCGTCCGTCTGTATTTGCCTTTCCTTCCGACTCAAGGAAGCGCGTACTATTGTTTAATGCCTTGCCCTTCTTTTGGAATTTCTTCCATCTTCCCTTCACTGCAAATTCATTTTACAAGCTCTTCTCTTTGTCCAGTAGATAGGCCACCCAGCCCAGTTTGAGTGAGGGAGAGAACTGGCTTTCGTTTTGTAATGGAGGAAAAACAAAGTGAGATTACTGAGGCAGAGAAGGTAGCAGATTTGCCTTCTCTTCCACCGCCTTTGACCGTGGGTATCGCCGTCGACGGTAAGAAGAAGAGCAAGTATGTCGTGAAATGGGCGCTCGAGAAGTTTGGTCATGAGGAGAAAGTTGTGTTCAAGATCCTACATGTCCGCCCTAAGGTCACTCTAGTCCCTACTCCCAGTAAGTTCCCTTAACTTTTCTTTCATGTCCAGACTTGGTATTCCTGTGGTTCATTCATCTTTAACTATTGTCTGTTTACACAGTGGGGAATTCGATTCCTATATCGCAAGTACGAGATAGCGTAGCAAAGGCGTATAGGAAGGAAATGGAATGGAAGGCCAGCCAATTGATAGTTCCTTACAAAGACTTGTGTACTCAGAGAAAGGTCATCCCTTTTCCTCACTTTCGGCTGTCTGTGTTTCGGTCTGGGTTAGAGGTGAAATCTTATTAGTGAACTATGCTTTTGGCTTGGATTTATAGGTACAAGTGGATGTGTGTATGACTGAAGCAGACAATGTGGCAAATGCAATAGCAGAGGAAGTTTCCAAGAGTATGATTAGTAAGCTAGTCATTGGAGCTTCTTCTCGTGGAATGTTCTCAAGGTAACTTCACTCGTTCATGCTGTCAAAAAGTGCAGAAGAACTGACAATGATAAGTAAGTTGTAACATCCCTACTTAAAAGACTTGAGAATCTTTGTTCAGGAAACTCAAGGCACATCATCTCTCCTCCAGAATATCAGCTTGTGCTCCGCGTTCTTGCACTGTGTATGTGGTTTCCAAGGGGAAATTGGCATCGCTTCGCCCGTCTGATTTGGACTCGAATCCAAGCATAGCGGATGATAGTAGTGTCACGAGTGGTCCTACTACCAGTGACTCGAGTAACAGTCTCAGCTCGCATACAGGTTGTCTAATGCTTCACTTGATTCAACGTAGTGCACTAAACACACCATAAGCTGTGTTCTAAATTTGTATGATCTGATGTGGGTTGGTGCAGATGGAAGTTCAGGATCTTCGTATTTCAATTTTCATTCTTCTTCCCTCCCAATGCAGCGAGTCCAAGCACTTGCTACCATAAACCAGGGCTGCCTTCACTCCAGAACAACCTCACCTGAGGCCATAATCCATTCTAGATCCCTGTCCTTGGAACTTGATGAAGTCAATGCTGGTGGTGGTGGTGGTGCTGTTGGTTGTACTCCTAGCTCCCCAGAATCTGCACATCTCATCACTCGTAGCTCTAGTTTCTCAGCTGATTTCCAATCACCACTCTTCTCCGATGAAGCTTCCGCGTCAGATGGGCTCACAGATAATTCATCATCTGACAGTCAGGTAGCCTTCTACTTCTTCCCCTTTTCTCTGGTGCATGTAATAAGGGATTATGGCACTCAATGCCATGTAATAAGGGATTATGTGACTCGATGCTTTAGCAGGCAAACTTCAACTTTGAGCTAGAAAAGTTAAGGCTTGAACTCAGGCATGCTCGTGGTGTCTATGCAATGGCCCAAACTGAAGCAATGGATGCCTCTAGAAAGGTTAGATGCAGTTACCGTGTTAAGATCAAGCGACGGATGTTCTGCTTCCTTCAGTTCATTAACTTCCTAACTGATGGCTGCCTTTCAGCTGAGCTCTCTTAATCAGTGTCGGATGGAGGGTGCAGCGAAACTGAAGGAGATAAGCTCCAGGGAGGAGAAAGCCAAGGAACTAGCACAAGAAGAGAGGGGGAAATGCGAAGCTGCACTCAAAGAAGCAGAACACATGAGGAAATGTGCCGAGAAAGAATCTATGCAGAGACGAGAAGCAGAGGCTAAAGCGAAGCACGATGCTAAAGAGAAAGAGAGGCTGCAGAATGCTCTTGTGGCTCCTCTGCAGCAGTATCGGAAATTCACTTGGGAGGAGATCGAATCTGCAACCTCATCGTTCTCGGAAGCGCTCAAGATTGGAATGGGAGCCTATGGAAAGGTGTACAAGTGCAGCTTTCATCATACAGTTGCAGCTGTGAAAGTTCTTCACTCGAAAGAGCCTCGCGATATAAAACAATTCAAGCAGGAGGTACCAACAAGCTTATATATATCATACTTATGTTCTAGAGCTTGTCTAAATTAGTGCCTGAAAAGTGAAAAGTCTGATACTTTTTCTTTCTTCTTCTTGCCTGGGGTGTTCACTTTCAGCTAGATATCTTGAGCAAAATTTGCCATCCACACTTGTTGATCCTTCTCGGAGCATGTCCTGATCACGGCTGCTTGGTCTACGAGTACATGGAGAACGGTAGCTTGGAAGACAGGTTACTAAGGCTACACAACACTCAACCCATTCCATGGTTCGAGAGGTTCCGAATCGCGTGGGAAGTAGCTTCAGCACTCGCGTTTCTCCACAACTCCAAGCCCGAACCAATCATCCACCGTGATCTGAAGCCAGCAAACATCTTGCTGGACCACAACTACGTCAGCAAGATCGGTGACGTCGGTCTCTCCACCATGCTTCATTCGGACATAACCATGTACAAAGACACCGCCCCGGTTGGAACCCTCTGTTACATCGACCCAGAATACCAGCGAACCGGTCTGATCTCCCCCAAATCAGATGTCTACGCCCTCGGGATGGTGATTCTGCAGCTGCTCACTGGGAAGCCAGCCATGGCGTTAGCACACCTGGTGGAAAGAGCCATGGAAGAAGGCCAGCTGGCTCGTCTTCTGGACTCGGGAGCTGGGAACTGGCCAGTGGATGAGACCGAGGAGATCGCGAAGCTGGGACTTAGTTGTGCTGAACTTCGACGGAAGGACAGGCCATGTTTGAAAGATGGCGTGCTTCCTGCGTTGGAGAGATTGAAAGAAGTTGGCGAGAGAGCTCGAGAGCGAGCTCTGTCGAATCCAGCTGGCTCGAGCTCGCATTCGCTGCCTCCGAACCACTTTGTGTGTCCAATACTTAAGGTAAGTTAGTGCATACGATTTGATGATTCGATGAGGTGAAAGAGTTAAAGCTTTTTTGAGTCTGATGTAGAGTGTGTTCTGTTTATGTGTGTGGCACAGGAAGTGATGAAGGAGCCTTGTGTTGCTGCAGATGGGTACACTTATGAACGCGAAGCCATTGAGAGATGGCTGCAGGAGAATGAGAAATCTCCAATGACCAACGTAGCATTGTCGAATAAGAACTTGTTACCAAATTACACCATTTTGGCTGCTATTGTAGAGTGGAAGTCTAAGTGATTAAAACAAGGCGACGATTGTAGTCTGTAGAGTTGAATGAAACTTAACACAGCCTGTTCATAGGAATAATTAATGGGTTCAATGAGTAATACATCAAACAAGAGCTTTGTCTCAAATTCATGTTGCTCATATCGAATAGATGTGTGCTAAAAGGGGTGTGTGACCCAAATTAGTTAAGAAGTAAAGAGTAAGGTTACATACCCTATACAAATGTGAGATTCTAACATACTACTCGAGGTTGAATGTGGGTCGTCTATATGTTGTGCCAAAATGCAATGTCGATGATTGTCATTCCTTCAGTCAGGTTAATTTGAGGCCTTTCGCCACACCTTTTAATTCAGCCCTTATGATTGAGCATTTCCCCAAGTTACAAGTGAAGGCATACTCATATCTTCTGGAATGATCTGTAATCAGCCCTATATGGGGAGTGACTGACCCATCAGTATTGAAATGCAATGGCTGCATCCAACCTTCTTCAGGGGTTCATCACGAAAGTTGTTGGACAAAAGCGGCGTATCGGGGAGAGAGTGATTCTCTCATCATTCTCATGAGGTCGTGATGTCGGTCACAGACTCACAGTTTGACTCCCCCTGTGACCTAACCTAAAGTATCATTTTCACTCTTTAAACGACCTCCGAATGGTCTAAAATTTCGTACAGACTTGTTGGGGTTTGATGTTAGGAAAGAAGCCACAATATATCATAGAATATGGTAAGAATGAGCAAGTTAACAAGGCGAATAACAGAAAACTGATAAACATCCTGCTAAATCATAGAATATCAAAAAAAAATTATAATGTATAGAATATCAATATTTAATCACTTATAGCACAATATTAACTCAAAAATTGCCAAAATATGATGATTATGACATTCAAACGCATAAGAAATGTGGTTTAAAATATACATAAAATGTGCGAGAACAATTGTGTGATGATAAAAGCAATTCAATTCAAAGTTAGGAATGACAATGAGCAGGTCCGGGGCGGGTATCTCGATACTCATACCCGCCCCATGGCAGGTCGGGTAATTTATCACGGGGCGCGGGTCAGGGCAGGTCGACCTATTGGGTATGTAATTTATGTGAAAAACATTAGAAATATTCGTTCTTTTCATTGAAAGACCAAGAAAGAAACCATAATATGATAAAATGTAGTTAAATTATTGAAAAAATTGAAGTTTTCACTTATTTACAACTTTATTATAGCTAAAGTATAATGTAATAAGAGGAAAATCTTAAGTAATTTGACTAAATATTATATGTAATTTAGCCAAGAACGGGTCGAGAATGGGGCGGGTTAGGACAGGTCGGGTCGATGAGAGGTACCCATGTCCGCCTCAAAACATATCAAACAGGTCGGGTAAATCGGGTCAGGTTAAAATTGTCATCCCTATTCAAAGTATCCCTATTCAAAGTGAGCACTTATTAAAAAAAAATCTAAGCAGAAAAGTAAATAATATTCTGTACCTGGCTCCATCCATAAATAACCAACAAGAATCGGCCACGTACCAAAATGACATCACCCACCAACCCCACCGACCATCACGACCCGACCCGACCCGGGTCTCCCCTCCGTCGTTTTCTATTATCTGCATTTTCTTTCCCTCCAGATTCTAGCAAGGAAGCCAAACACGAATATACAGTAAATCCGTCATAGCTTTCAATTTCATCGCCTTGACTTCGCTACTAAGCTATTCTCTTCTTCTTCTTCTTCTTCTTCTTCCCCTTACCCAACTCTCTTCCATTTGTTTTCGTCTCACGGAATAACTGGTCCTGAAAAAGAATAGTTTATCTCCTTCCTCTTCCTTCCTTCTTTTCCTTGCGTCCCTCTCAAATCTTGGCATATTCCCTCTTTTATCTCCAAACCTTCCCCATTTGTATTCATCTTCCCTAGGAAAAGAGGGGGAAAAGGGTTTGCTCAACGAGGAATCTTTAGACTCCCGCCCTGTATATATATTAGCACGGAAAGGATTCTGTATTCTTGCCCCAATCAAACCCAACAAATTGGAATGAGTTCCTTCCCAGTTCCCCTTCTCTTCTTCTTCTTCTTCTCCTTGTTCGTCTCCTCCGTTCTCTCGGACCAGGCGGCGTTCAGCTCCCACCTTCTCCCCAGGCCTCTGATCCTCGAGTACCCAGAAAGTTCCGTCGAAACCCTGCAAACCCAGTTGAGCCAATTCGACGCCGACGAGCTCACTCTGCAGTGTACTAGCTGGAGGGTCGCCGGAGAGGCCAACAATTTGAATCCTTGGAAGACGATCCCCGACGAGTGCCTCGAGTACGTTCGAGGCTACGTCAACGGCAAGGGATACCTCGTCGATCTCCAGAGGGTCGCTGAGGAGGCCGTCGCGTATGCCAAGGGTTTGCAGCTCCAGGGAGATGGGAAAGATGTTTGGGTGTTTGACATTGACGAGACTTTGCTCTCCAATCTTCCCTATTATAAGGACCATGGTTATGGGTAAAGTTCGATTTTCATTTCTAGGGTGATTCTGATTTCTGATTCCCCTCCTTTTTTTTAGTAATTTGCATATCTAGGTTAGGGCAAGTTGAATTGAATTGGAGCAAGAAGAGTTCTGAATTGAATTTGGGGAAAATGCGATTGAACCATAGCAATGATTACAGCTTTCGATAATAAGCTTCTATTCCCATATTGCTGGTAGTCTGTAGGGAGCTTGAATAGAACTTGGACCAATGGCTCACTGAATTTGGGAAAGGTGGAGCAAAGATTACAACTTTAGGCTATAAGGACTTATATCAATGGCTCATTGACCAAAGTTTGATATTGCCAACTATGTGATGGTTACTTGGCCTGAGCTTCGATTCTCATTTACTTTTACCCTCGTGCTGGTTTCTTTTACTGGGGGAATATTGCAGAGCGGAGGTGTTTAATCCGGTAGATTTCGATATGTGGGTCGATAAGGCTACAGCACCTGCACTAGAAGCCAGTCTGAAACTGTATCAGCAGCTTCTGGATATGGGCTTCAAGATCATTCTTCTAACCGGGCGCAGTGAGGCGCAAAGGGCTGTTACAGAACAAAACCTGAGGAGTGCAGGGTTCCAGAGTTGGGACAGACTCATCTTGAGGTTAGTGCAAATGTTTGTTTTCATCAGAACGAGCAACAGGCTGTAAACTTTCTCCCAATGGATTAGATTAAGCTTGATCTCAATTAATACTAGCTTGTCTGCTAACCCTATAACCAACCTGCTCTCTTAACCCAAAATGTTGATTTGACGATGTAGTATTTGATAAGTTGAATTGGAGACATGTAGGATCTCTCGTCTCTAAATCCATTCCTAACAACTTGAGCTGTTGGGATGAGTTAGTTCAGATATAGGAAAAACTCGCCCCTGCACATACATATGGTTTCCAGTGACTGAAATTTGTTAAGCTTGGAGTTGGAGGGGTATAGGTGATTGATTCTTCATCTAGACACGAACATGAACTTGCTTAGTTTCTCTTGACCATCAAAATGAACACTCATCACTGGTGATTGCAATGTGTATTCTATTGTCATCCTCACTACTTCCCACCTCATGTAAAAGGATCCTTTAGATGAAGGATTGCTAGAACTGATGGATTTGAAATAACTGATTATAGAAGTGGACTGGTAAAATGACACGACTCTGTAAGTAAAGTTATGTTTGTTTGAATAACTGATTATAGAAGTGGACATGGTAAAATGGCACGACTCTGTAAGTAAAGTGATGCATAACAACGGGATGTTGCGTCTGTTACTTTTATAGCTTCCTGAATTTGTTTAATTCGCCTTTCGTTGCAGAGCCACTGAAGACCATGGGAAGCTGGCAGCAACCTACAAATCAGAGAAGAGAGATGAGATGTTGGAAGCTGGGTATAGGATCCTTGGAAACTCAGGAGACCAGTGGAGCGATTTATTAGGCTGGCCAATGTCGACCCGTTCATTCAAACTTCCAAACCCAATGTACTATATCTCCTAACTCTTAAACCCACAACCTCCGCTTTCCTTGTACGATAATGTTGCAGACTCGCGCATTCAAATGTAAAGAGATGCTTGTCAGAAGAGCTTTGTTTGATTATTTGGGGTATGGATTTGAGAGAACACAAGACAAGCCTGGACTGGTCGATCTCAAACCATAGTCTGCTTGAATTCTCAGATTGCACCAATAATATTATCTTGCTGAGTTTCATGGATGTAGTTCTATAATCAACTGTCGTCTCTGCTCAATACCCTTATGATGGTGATGGTACAGACAGACCAACTACTGACATCCTTTTGTCCTGTGTTGAAATTTTGCGTATGAAATGGGGTGTTGAATGCCCACTTTGTTATCTTACCTTCATATGCCAGTTATGTGGGGATGAGTCATCCTCCAACCAACCTAGAAAATGGACCTACTGGACCATTTAAAGCTGGCTTCTTTCTTGGTGTTGTTGTGCTGCTTTTGCTGAGTTCTTGTGCACTGTTTTGGCTACATAGGACCACGTTCTTGTTTTAGGGTGTGCAATTGGTTGTTGATGACTCGAAAAAAAAAATTAACCGGGCTAGAAGTCTCGGGTAAATCTGTCGGATCGCAGAAAGACTCTTGGTTCCACGTAGGCCTATGAAGAACGTCTGATGCCAAAACATATATCTGACGAGTGACGAGGCTATCTCGTTGATTTGGAGACGTTTTAGCATCAAATCATATCAAAAGTTGTAGCGAAAAAACTTAAATTCAATCAAATGTTTCCATTTTCTTTTATTGAATCAAATGTCTCCATCGACGATTATAAGATGAACAAAACCAAATTGGATTTCCACATGCATATCGCATATTGGCCCCATATATCAGCTTTTTTCTTCTCCGAAGTCAGCTTCAGCCATTAATGAAAGCCTGGATAATTTAGGCTATTATTATGTGAATGAGAGGAGGAATCTTGTACCGTATAGTTGAGGGTTGGTGATTTGATTTTAACTTTCGAGTCGCTTGCATATGTTGTCTTGTTGCATTCAATTATCCTTGGCACAGATTTCCTACTGAACTAGAGGAAAAGCAAATGAAGAAAGTTCTAAGTGATGAAATTGCAGAAGCAAAGTGCATATGCAGTGCAGGTGAACTTCCAACAACAACATTCTCTCTGTTGTTTTTCTCTTTTTGGAAACCTTCTCCAGCCGGTGATGTTTGGTCGTGCGCCATTAGGGATGCACCAATGGTATTTCATTTGGAATTGAAGATGTCTCTCTCAGGATACTACTCATCATTAGTTCGCTTGTAGTGCAAAGTGATTTTCAACAATACATGTATATTATAATGCATGTATTGTTCACAATACATCAATTTAACAATCGGAAAAACCAAATGACCCCTACATGTAATTTAGAC